GACCCGCCCCGCCCCGCCCGCGGGGTGTTAACTACGCGGAGCGTGTCCCCAGCACTGCAAACCGCGCAGCGTAATCCCCACCAAATAAACTTTCTTCGTGCATTTTTTGTTTTGCTCGTCCACCTCCGTGCGCCCGCATACGAGCATGCAGCCCGAGCTCGAGCAGTGCCCCTTCCTTCCGCATGCCGTTGTTCTCTTCTCTCCTCTTCTCACTTCCATGAAAATTGGATGATGATATGAAACGGGGCTGCTAAAAAAAGAATCGACACTATACGTCCCCAACACGCCGGGTTCTTATATTTCCATCCGTTTCAATGGTTATATCAATCCTACCCAAAGCTCTGCACCTTTTTCCCACTCCTGCATCTTGTTTTTTTCGTCGACAGCAGGTGCATTTCTGTTTTGATCGCAGCGTATAACAGTTGGCCGTGCGGGGCCCCTCTGGTCGTGCCCGTTGCCCTCCTGCCTGCCCGGGCCTCCCATGCGGGGCTCCGAGGCCCGGGGGCCCCCTAGCTCAAGACCCCCCCCCCCTCCTCGTACACAAGAGTTCCGATGTCACGGTATGTATGCACGCCAGCTCCTCGCCATGCACACTGCACTCGGCGGGGCGGGGCGGGGCGCGAAAGGCACGCACAGGATCGGATATCGAACAGACACACCCACCCACAGAGGCTGCCGTAGAAGGGAGAGTGAGAGCGTGCGCGTAAGGTCCCAGTGGGTCCACGAGCTTGACAGGCAAGGATGAAGAAGTGTAAAAAAAAAACAACAAGACACTTTGCACATATGTAACGTTGCAAAACGCCGTGTTCTACAACCCAACTTCTAGCACGCGAAGAAGGGTTGTCACAAAGTCCCAAAGTTACGGTCGACCAAGCATAAACAAAGCCCAATCAACCAGAGGGAGTTTCAGCGCCACATTAAATTTGTTTATTTTGGCCGTTTGCCGTGCGAAACATCTTTTGCAGTGCCCAAAGTGACCCCAGCACGTGGCGAGCACGTGGTCGCGGGCAGAGCCGGGCAGAGCCAAGCAGAGCGAGGGAGGATCGCACGCCGCATAGCAATTTTTCACACCGCGTGTCGGCCGAGCCTCGGGGCCGCTGAGCTTCCGCCCTCACCGGGGTGGAGAGAGGGAGGAGGGTAGTAGAGACCGAGGGTGGAAATGTAAGGAAGAGGAGGAAGGGGGTTGGGTGAGGGAAGGGGTCGAGCGCCAAGCGTCGCGTATGTCCACTAATAAAACTACAGGCCGCTTTGGCCTGATGGCGCCGCTTTGGTCGCACGGCGCTGTGAAACAACCCGCCCGGCCGCCCAACGGTTTACCCGCGTCCTTTACGGCGCCCTCATGGCGCCCCGATGTCCTGCAGTGGGGCGCACAAGTGGTTCAATGGATGGCGCGTGACGGAGGGGGAGGGGGCGGG